CCCGATGCGAAGTGCAGGGAAAAGCGTCCCCTCACCTGCCCCATGGCCAGTGTCCCGCACTGCAGGCACTTGCAGCCCACGCGGGGCTGTCTGGAGCAGGCACGAGTAGCCCCAGGCAGGCAGCGAGCAGCTGTAGCATGGGGCGCTGGGCATGGGGCAGGTGAGGGGCCACTTTTCCTAGCGCGGGGAAGGAGCCTGCGGAAAAGCTGAGTGCAGGGGGGAAGCGGCCCTTCCCGTGCCCCATACTGCAGGCACTTGGAGCCTGTATGGGGCGGTCTGGAGCGGCACAGGTAGCCCCATGCAGGCTGCGAGCAGCTGCAGCGCGGGGCACTGGGTGTGGGCAGGGAGGGGCTGGTCCCCCCCCCCCCCCACGCTCCTTCCTGCCTGGGGTTCTCCCCCACCTTACCTGAGCTTCCTGCGCCGGGACAGCCCCATGCTCCCAGCCCAGAAATCGCGACTGGGGCTTCCTGCTGGAGGGCGGGGTCTGGCGGGCCCCTCTGTTGTTGGAGCCCATCAGGCTTCCCCTGGGTCCTACTGCCCTTGCTTCCTGTCATTTTTTACAAATGAGCTACATAATCTTCACCTGTGATTAATGGAGAGGCCCCAGTATTGAAATCAGCTTCCTTCTAATGTGTTACAACTTAAATCATTTGCATTAGTAGTAGAGGTACCCTGATACTTTGGTCCCATATCAGATCAGTACCCATATAAGGAAAATAGTATCGTCAGTTGGCCTGCCCCTTCCCCCATAACAGACTGACCATCCGGATGCACAGCATATCGGCAATTGGATTGGTATCGGACGATATGACTAGTTAAAAATTGTCCATCAGTATCAGCCCAAAAAATCATTATCGGTGCACCCTTAATTTGTAGTGATCTACATAAGCACTTTGAAACCAGAAAAGCAGGGAGTTCCCAGACTCCAGCATTTTAGCGTTTCTGCCTATAAATGGGAAGAAGATGCAGAATAAACATGTAATAAGCTGTGGCGCTGGGGTTCCAATGAGCTGCAGTTCATCAGTGGTGATAATAGTAGAAAGTGAGACTTAAACAGTTTCTTTTAAATAAAAAATGGATCAGCGTGAGGTGCCCATAGGGAAATACTATTTTCTACTGCTTTGCTGATGGCTTTTTTCTAAGGCTGAGTACATGCATTAAATAATCTGGGAGAATTCTCCCAGATGTATTTTGGTAGAGAAACTTACCCAGAGCCATGTGTATGGACATTTGAATGCTGAAGCCCTGAATAGTGGAAAACTCTCAGTGCTGACATTGTGCAGCCAAAGAGGGTGACTATGCACACATCTCTGTGTGTTTGCAAGCTCCCTTAGTCTCTCTGGCAACAGATGGCAATGGTTCATAGCACAGCCTTGATTTATTGTCTGTGGTCAGTCTGTGTTTCCCTGTGGCACAATTATGCAACTGCCACCGCCAGGGAGCTCTGCACTGAGGACTGGTACTTGGTGCTGCAGTTTGTGTGGTGCCCTTTCAGCTTGCTGACATTCATGGTGCCCAGGACTACAGTCCGAGGCTTCATGTATACTGGCAAATTTAAACACGTATGCCATGCAGCCTTGAGTGGGCTGCATGGCATGCAAATTACAGGGATCATAAGTTTAAATCCATGCACGGGGCAGCCCTGTATGACTTGCCTGGTGCATGGTTTAACAGGTTCCAAGTGGGGGGCAGCTGATGGTTTCCCCCTGCCCAGGGAAATTAAATCCCATGTGGGGCCTCAACATTTGGGACCTGGGACTGTCCCCCAGATCTGAGGGCTGTCCTATGTCCCATCCCGATGTTCAGCCTAGCATCAGGATGGGAGCACAAGGCAGCCCCAGGTATGGGGGACAGTCTTGGGTCCCAAATGGATAGGCCACATGTTCAGTTTAAGGTATGATAGAAACTGGTCACAGCTATGATCCACAGATAATGTGGAACATCTTTGTGGCTGGTTTGCCATCTTAACTCACCATAAATTGGCTGAATGGGTGGCACTTCATAATTTATGGTGCAATCTATTTGTTAATCATTAAATGTAATGCCTTTCAAGGGCCTAAGGTGCCATCCTGCCTTGCCTTATTTTTTGTTTTAGTACCAGCCTGCTCTGATTGGCCAGATCTCACAGCTTGAACAGGTGAATGTCATGTTTGTAAATGGTCAAGTTTTTGTTTGGCTCATGTTATGCTAAACACTAAAACCTATACATTGCAATCTAATAGGTGTTACCTTTTTATAATTTAAGTACTATTTTCATAATAGATTTAGTCGCCTATGAGAGAGTGAAATTTAGAACCCTTTGTTTTTAAGTGTCTCTGCAATATTCTTCAAGGCTCCTGTATTAACTTAAAACAATCCAACAAGTGTAAAATATATAAATATAGAGAAGCTTTTTTCGCTGTGATTTTTTTTGCTCTTTTTTTTGTTTTGTTTCTTGATTCTGTTGTTTTTATTTTCTGCATATTATGGTTTTGTAGATTTGCTTTTACAGGTAAGAACATTCCAGATGCTTTTGAGGGATCACTAAACTAAAACGAAGCCCAACAAAATAACATGGACCATAATGGAAGAGGGGAAGGGACTTGATGTGGGGGAAAAAGGCCCTGGGAGATGGTCCAGGATTAAGCATGTTAGAGATGTTGGTATTAACAGATATCACAAGCTTTCGTCAGTTTCAACCTTCAGTGAAATAAATTAGGTTGTATGCTAGTAGTCTGTAACTATGGAGATGATTGTTGCATAATATGTTTAGTATATCATTTTGATCCAACAGAGAATATCCATAGCCAAGTAAGTCCAGGAAAATAATAGACGATCACTCTGCAGCATGCCAGTATATTCAGGGCAAAAGTCACAACCTAAGAATAAATGTTACTTAGTTTGGCTTTACATTTCTCCACCCACTAACAGTCTCTCCCCTTCACTCTGTATTTCTGTTTCCCCTCTCCACACTATCTTCTAAAACCCAAATGTAATGTTGGAGTAACAACACCTTCCATACTTCTTTTTGTTGAGCTTCTCTTTGCCATCTGGTACAGAAGAAAAAGGGTGACTAGCTGGTCCTAATGACGGTAGTGCAAGAGTAATTTTTAACCTACATGTTTTCCTTTTTCCCTGTTTGACTTGCATAATAGTGTTTTTTTTGGTCACAGAAATATCAGTACTTAAAATGACAGGTGTTCAGCATTTTGGGCCTGTAAACCAGTGAGGAGTGTGGGGCTGGTATGCAGGCTGGATTTGACCCTGCATACCAGGATCAGGTCTGCACCACTTTTGCTTACGCTTACACTGCCCCTGCCTGGCCTCGTGTCCTGGGATTGGGCTTTGTGTGCCCAACCTAGTGTGTGGGGCCACAACCCACGGGGCTCTTCCCAGACCCATGGAGAGCCACTCTGGGCTGGACCTGGCCCACAGGCCAGGGGTTGAGCAACCTTGCTTTAGAATCCTTAGCCCTTTTGCCAGTGTTACATAGCCTATGGTTATTTCCATAGTCTGTTTTGGCAAGCATGTGGCTGTGCTTGACTATGGGATGGGTAGTTTAGCAACATAGACTGATAGTGTGTATTTTCTTCTGAGGGACTTTGCTATATTCATTAGAATGGGAAATTTACAGATTGCTTGTCAGTAGGTGACTGTGGTGGTTTGATTTCGATGGAAAAAAAGAAATAGACCCATAAACATTTTTTTTCTTTAGCAGCCATCCAATCTTTCTTGTTTTCCTAAACTGAGGATCTGAATTTTTTTACTTGAATACCTGATTGAATCTTCCTGTTTGGCTGGATACTCCCAATAATCAGTTGGAATGGAAATTAACCTGTTCATTTAGTTTCAAACCAAAGTGTATGTGGTTGCGAGGGAGGGGGAGAGTATAACAGTGTAATGATGTGTAACTTCACTTAGTCTGGATTCTTACCCATAACTAGTTTCCCTGACAAGTATGTACCTAAGTGTTTTTAGGGTTGGGGCTTTTGTCTGCACTTTACAGATACAGAAAATATGCAGGGAAATACTGACTATTCTTTTTCTGAAGGTATCTTTCAAGAGAACTGTGTTTTCATCAAATGGCTTTGGGAGGAGGTGGGGAATGAAAGGGATTGCTGACATGCTGCACTTAAAGAGACTTCTGAGAACAATGACTTTGCAAAATTGCACCCTAAAATTGATGGGTAACTTCATATAAAATAACATCTATGGGGAAGTAGGACCTTGAGAGAGGAAAAAAAAAAAACCTCTTTGGAACAGTGTTGTGTTTTATTGTTTTTTTTTCCCCCCTTTACTTATCAAGATGGAGGCAGCATGTGGTGAAGATCTTGAGATGAGTGTTAGAATATAGGCCAAAAGAAATGAGTTCTGAGGAGGATTTTGAATGCAGTTTAGCAGTCCATCATAGTTTTGTATCCTCTACAGTAAGATTTACCTTTCATTCTGTTTCACTTTTAATTTTGAGAAAGATAGTTTTGCTTTTCAGATGTGATTGATCTCACTGGAGATGATAAAGATGATCTTCAGAGGGCAATTGCCTTGAGTTTGGAGGAATCAAACAGGGCATTCAGGGAGACTGGAATAACAGATGAGGAACAAGCCATTAGCAGGTAAACAAATAACTTGTATAAAGCAGAAATTAAATTTTAAGAGATGGAGATTGGCCTGTATTGATTTTATTCATTGTAACAACAACAACCACAACAAAAGTAACTTGTTTACTTTAATCTGTGCTGCTGCTATGCTTGGCTTCTGAAGTGTTGCTTTTACTAAATTGTATATTCTGCATTAGAAAAATAGTCCACTGTGTTTTTGGTAGGAATTAATAATGTCTCATGGCTACACAGTTGAAATATCAAAGAGGGAGGTAGCAATGTATCATCAGAAAAAGCAAAATAAGATGAAGCTAACCACTTGCAGCTTGCTGGTTTCTTTTTCCAAGATCTTTTTCATTATTACAATAACACTGTCTCATTTGTGTGGTAGGAAAGTTTGGTTATTAGGGTTCTTAACTTTTAGTGGCACTAATAACCATTAAACTTCAGCTATTAAAAAGTATTTTTATTATAAATCTCATTTTTGTTTAGTCAAAAATTAGGAGAAAAAAATCATTTTTGTGGGGGTGAAATTTACCAGACTTCATTTTGTCCAAAGCTTGTGGGGGGGGGAGGTTGTTGTGTGTTGGCTGCTTTTTAGCAACTTACAAAATACAGAAATTTTTATTAGGGCTACTTTTTGAGCATCAGTACAGATAAAACAATTGAGGTTTGAAATTAGGTGTGGGTATAGTTTTTACTGAAAAAGCTGCAGAGAGAGGAAAATGACTTTGATTATGACTGTTCGAAAGTAAGATATGACATACTTCCAGTAGACTTATTTGATAAGCTTATAAGCATTGCCCAGTGGAAAATTTGCCATGCTTTTCTATGTTCCTATAATAAATTGAGCTCTTGACTGGCTTGGACACACTTTTTGAAATGTTTTGAGAAACTTGGGTCCTAGTAAAAGACATACTTTGGCTACTGGGTTATCCTTCAGAATATCCTCTTGGCCAAGTTTGATGCAATTTTGGATCATGCAAGTTCACTGCTCCAATCCTACAGCTTGGAATGCTGTTTAGCAGTGAGAAAGGAAAATACTGCAGCAAAGAGGTGGGAAAATAAACTCCACATACTCTTAGAAGTAAAGTCTTTTTATTTTCATTTTCTCTATCATTTTTGAAAAATGCAAGTGTGCTAACGACAAAAAGAAAACATGCCAAAGAATGCACCCAGATGAGTGGGAAGAATTATTTAATGGTCAGATTCATGAGATCATTTTGACTAGATAAAAATCTGTCAAATTGCTCAGAAAAGTCAGATGTAACTATTTTCTTGCTTAGAGCCTGCCCTCAAGCAAGAATGAAGTGGGGAGAGATTTTTCCAGTTATGGCTGCGTAGAGCTGAGACAGAAAGAATCTAATCTGCAGCTGACTTACTTTCCTGCTTAACCAAAAGCTGAACCCCTAGCTGTAATTGAAGACTAGTTTCCAGAGTTTTGAAAACATCTAAAGAGTATTCAGGGCTGTAGAATAAGAAAGTGAAGAGAGAGCAGGAACAGCTAGCAGATAGCAAAATTGCTCTCAGAACAGTTAGCTTGATAGTGGAATGTCAAGACTATTAAAAGGAGACAACTACCATCAACACCTGTGGAGTGAAGAGCATAAACCATTGAGTCAAATGACTCTTTTAGCTGTCTGAATAGTAATGATACTGCTGCTTTTCTGTGAGTAGGAAATGGATAAGGATACTTTTTGGGCAGAAAGTTAGCTACCCTGTTTAAGATCTGCCCCCCAGTTTGGGGCGGCAGGGTGATGATTTTTATACAAAAGGTGCATGTGGCATGTGAGTAAATACAGTATTACTGTTAGCTATTGAACAGGGCCATGATGGTATTCTTTAGGTTTTGGGGATGTGCATGTTCTGAAATACCAATGTATGAGAACATAGTGAAAACTATTTTGCTTGATGTAATGTAAGAGATACTCAGGGTTTGTGAAGTGTAGATGTAGGAGGAATAATCCTGCTTTGAGTCTAGATGTGAGGTTCTCTACTTGGGATAGCAGCCTTCATTCTCCTTCTCTTCATTCTTTGGCTTTAACTGCCCCCACAGGACCATTTTCATGTTTTTGGGGCCTTCTATTTTTAAACCTTCTTTTTTCATTTTACCAGTTCTTCTTCCCCAGATAAAACAGTGTCCTTGGAATGTAGAAAGTATTTATAATTTAGTTAAAATTATATGTGTGATTTGAATTTGAATAACACAAACCAAGTAGAGGGACAATCAGGATTAAGGGGAGGTGTCCAATGTTAATCTCACAGTCACTGCTGAATTGACAGTAGCTTTGGGCAGTCCCGAAATCTCTTTCTCTTCAGTTTCCCTTTCTAAAACAAGGTATATTTGTTTTTGGCAGTGAGTGGTCTGTGGGAAAATATGGTAGTTTTCTATTCTTGGGCAAGATGTCAGGCCACTCTGTTTTACTGTTTGAGAACTAGAAAGGGTTGTTTTTTCAATGCGAGTGTAAAGAACTCAAATAGCTTCTGATTTTTGTTTACTAAATTAAAGGAAAGGCAAACATTGAAGTGGCAGGTAAACTGGGCCTTGGAAAGCTATAAATAATGATCAGCTAAGGATTTTTTTTTACTGGTTACTTCATAGAGGTGGACATTTTCAAATATGCATATAGCAGTTAATTACCTAACCTGCATTGATTACTACAGATGACTTATTACTTATGAATGACTTGGCTAGTACAACTTAATATTGCATGAATGTTAAGCTTTTGTGTTTGACTGCCTTATTTTTAATCGAGAAAGTTCTGATTGAGTACATAAATACTGAAAGAGCTGTAACTGAAATGTCCAGAAGATGCCAAGCACACACACAATGTTTTCAGTTAAGATTTTTAGTTTTGTTACTTTAAAGGGAAAAAATTCCTGTCACTGAATATTTCCATAAAGTGTGCAGGTTCAAAATATTGTATTGATGTATGAAGGCTTGTCCTAGTTTCTTTTTCTTGTGACCACTCTTTTACCAGTACTAGGCGTTTAGGAAGTGTGTTATTAGCCATGTTAACGTATACGTTTTACACTCACCACTTCTGGAGATTAATGTTGAAAAGATAATGTCTTTGTGTTCATCTTATATCCTGGTATCATTATAGCAGGCCCAAACATAATGTTTTTGGACCATAGGACCAGGACTCTTTGGCCCCCTAAAGCAATCTCTCTGGCAGTTGCTTTCTTTCAGTTTACAATTTATTATAATTTTCCTCATCTGTTACATCATTGTTTAAAATGTGATGGTTTCAAACAAAAGTATAAATATGTGGTAACATTATAATAATTGAGAGTAACAGTTTAAGAATGTAAATGCTTACAATATAAGATGCCTACAGTAAGGATGTCAAACTTGTACTTTAAATGGGTTTCCAAATATGACCACCCCATATTATGACTGCTATTCAGAAAAACATCCCTGCTAAAATCTATTCCCAGTGAAGTATATTGGACTTCTAACTGGATAAGGATCATATCCATGGATTTCTTGATTTGTTATATCTAAAGCATTTTTCCCCTTGTACACTGAGCCATATCTGAGATCACTGAAATTCATACTTCTGTGCATAGTTTGAACTTGTGCTTCCAATTTTTTAGTCTCTCATTGTGGGCAGCATTCTTAGGAGCTTTCATCTGTTCCATTTGTTTTCATTATGAAGAATGTTTGTATTGTGTAGAGCCAGAACTATGATGTCCCCAAATTACTTTCTAATTAATTTGTGATTTCTGTTTGTGTGAGAACAATCCTGAGACCACTTTCAGAGGAGAATGACTTTAGTACCATACCACCATTACTTAACTTCTGGCAGTGTTTCCATAGGGTAGAATTGGGAGGAGAGGAGGGATCCAATATAAGCTCTTGAGTAATTTTATAATGGGTAGCTTTTGTTTTGAGCAGAAGTTCATATTTTAAGTTTGCTTATATCACAGCCATCACCACTTTGTCCAGAGCTGACTGTAATTGGAGGGCTAACTTCTGCTGCATAAAGTGTAATGCTCATGATGGAGCCTGTGGTTATTGTTTAAAATAGAAGGCAAAGGTATAGTAGAAGTAAGATGTCTGAGGGCACATTAGTGGCTGGACAAATCCTTTCCAAGCAGGTGATTCATTATCATTAGGAAATAATGCCACAAAACTAGCAGGATTCCAAGATTTATTATTAAAACTAAAACTATCAAAACTGAGAGAGAATTTTAGGTGAGGACAGAACCCATGAATACTATTCTGCTGTAAAAAAAAAAAAAAAAAATGATAAAATGCAAGGTGAAAAAACTTCTGAAGTAGTAAATAAATAGAACATAAATGCTACTTGTCTTTAGCTACACGTTAATTGTAGGAGCAAGGTACATAACAGGGAATACCTTCCCATATTTGTACAGAAGACCATATCCAATGGTTTGGGGGTTTTTTTTTGCCTAGAGAGGCCACTTAAAATTTCAGGTAGGAAGTTGTAAGAACTCTGCAGGACCTGCCTTGGAAATTCATATTAAGTTAGTCTGATTGCCACTTTCCAGAATGGGCCACATGAACAATATTACATATTCTAACAAGTTCTGTTGTCCAGAATTGAGCCCCAAACATGGGCAACTTTCCTTCAGTTTAAAAAAATTGCCTTTGTAAAATGTGTAATTGTTCTCTGGGAGATGATATGAGGTTACATTTAAAGCTTCTCTTAGCCAGAAGGATTGGTGCTACCCCATCAGCACGACTTCAGTAGTGATGCAGTACTGTAGAGAACTGGCTTAATTAGCATAGATCATTTTTACAGTTTAAGAAATTGTTTTAAATTAGTGTGACGCTTATTTTGAAGCTTTCTTTAACCTTCAAGTAGCTGATTTCTTCCCATAGCAAAACTGTGACTGCCTCATCATGCTGTCACAGGGGCATATTCTGCATGTTACAGGTATCACACAATTAACTAGTTACAGGTTTCCCTCGATTTTATGCAGGTTCCATATATGTGAATCCACTCTTATGTGATCACCCTTTTTCTATCCAAAATTCCTTATAT